GCTTTATCGCTCAGAAGAATTTATTGATGGACGTAATTTTGTAATTCATTGATATAGTAGTATCATTAATAGTGACTGTAATCCCACAGGCATGGAAATCATATGAAACATCATAGTGATTGTCGTAATCAGGTGTAAAATAAATGAAATGTTTTGTTGTTTGTTAGAACGTTGCCAGTTGGTTTTGAATCGTTAACCAGAAGATTAATTGCAAAAAAAATTAGAACAACACTCACACTTACACATCCATTTCTGCTCCATTTTCTTGAATTCTGTGAACATTTTTTTTTTTTGAGCTTTCAATCTCTAGATCGTAGATATGTTGCTATATTTTGTCATGTTTCTTGAGAATTATTGTGCAAAAACAAGATGTTATTCATCACTGATAATTCATCGAAAAAGTGAATACAAAAGCAATAACGAACATACGAGAAAGTTAAGAGAACAATAAAGAAAAACCTATCAGATGAATATAGATAAAAATAAAGAAATATGATCGACTTTTATCCAATAGAACGAATATTTCCTTGTCTATTGATTCACGTCCCATTTGTAAATACAGCAACGAGAATAAAAGTGATCAGTACACATATGATATTAGATTATTAAATATTACTCTCACAAATATGTAAATGTTTCTAATGTTAGAAGACGATAGGTGATGTTGGCAGTATGAATATACTGTCACTCTCACTCTAGTTAAAATAGTTTTTTATTATATTTATTATTTTCTCTCGTATCGATAGACTACGTAGGTTGATTTGTCTCAAGCACTCTATGAACGATAGAATCCATTTTTTTGTTTTTCTACTAGAAGAATAAAAAAATGATACTATTATCTACAGTAGGTATATACTTGATGTCTTTGCAAATGTGGAAGTTTCTCGTGCGAAAAACATTTGTAGATTACGTTTGCATTGATTCTTGATGGCATTGTTATATCGAGTTTTTTCTAAAGTGCAAATATCAAGAGCAAAACAAATCAATAAATAAAGTACATTGAAAACAAAGAAAAGAAAACATTTTTCTTGAATATTTCTAATTTTGTTGCCATTTTTTTGTTTGTAGAATGTGTAAACAAATGAATGTTAAAAAAACAAGGTTATGTTTTTCTTTCTTTCTTTGTCTTTGCTTGATTGCATCTCATCAAGAGTCTTTTGCCACTTTTCGTCTTTTTTGCGAACATATTTGCAAGCTTAAATGACTGGAAATGCGTTAAAATCAATCCATCATTGTTCATTAGGTTTCAGAAACGTTTTTCTTTTACTTTTCGAGAATCAAGTCTCAATGTCAGGTTCCATCAGTTTTTTATTTAAATAATGTAACAAGTACCTAAGCCTTTTGAGTGGGGTGTGGAGGGGTCCCCGTATCTCTGCATGGTCACCTGTACCCCACATTCATACCCACCCACACCCTCATCCGTCAAAAGATTTAACCTTAATAGGACCCTTTTTGGACTATCACTTGTTGTCGTCATGGGGTCTGTGCAGACTTCTATTAATAAAATAAATATATAAAAACAAAAAAAGAATTTCATGCGTCCTATTTCAAAGATCGCGAAGGCGACAAAAGATGTCAGCTCCTCTTGATTTAATTAAAACTCACTGCTCTAGCTGTAGTTGCTGAAATCGGTGCCTGGTCTCGCTTTCATTATCTCGCACACAGATCAAAAACTCCGTAGATTATTTTCATAATGCGGGTTTTACTTTATGTGAACGAAATGTATTATTAAAAATTAGAGAAAATATTTACTATTTTAGGAACTCTCCTTTCTTATATGTGTTTCAATCAACTTCACTGATGCTCTGTTCTCGAGATCATGATTACAGAATACATGGACTTTGGATGAGTAAGGTCGAAAAAAAAAACTTGCGACTGACTACTAGAAGATGCTTCGCACCTTAAAAATATGATAACAGCAACCGGTCTCTTATATTTATCATTATTGCCCATACATGGGTTTGTTGCATTATCTATTGTTAACAGAGTGCAGTTGAGAGTTTTAGCATGCATTGCTTCTTATTTTAGAGCTAGTCACAATCATCACGATAAGCACAATCAAGCGCGTATCGTGTATGAGCTTTTCTCGTTCGGGCTGCGCTATGAATGTATTAAAGCTAATCTTTTATATAATCTACCGTGTTATTAGAGATGTAATTACGAATCTTCAATCATATTGGTTTCATTCTCCCAAAAATAACACTGCCACCCCATGTGAGATTTTGACCATTTTGTATCGTCTAAAGTCAGGTGAAGGTGATGTGGCCAGAGATTGCGATTTTATGTGGCTGCATGAAAAATTTTATGACGCTGAAAAGCTTCTGAAATATGACCCAAATTGGGTACTTTACACGATTTCAGATCGATATGCGTATTTTACACTCTTACCAAAACCAATTACAGAATATAATGTGAAAAATGCACCTTTTCTTTGGTTGGAACAGTTTACTGATGCTCTCAAATTAGCTCGAATGCCAATAAAGTAAGTTTATGTTAAATTTAATTAAGCATCTTGAAATTTGTATGCATTGCAATTTATTATATTTAGAGATTTTTGTACTTTTGCATGCCATTCACTGGGACCTATGAAAGGAAAAGTAATTGTGTTTACCAATTGTCCGAGAAGTGGTTCTACACTGATAACTCAAATGGTTCAGGTTGGCCAGCAAGTTCTAACTATTGCAGAACCTATTTCTTTTACAAATCTAGCGATGATGCGTAATGAACACATATGGTCTCCGGACTTCTTCAATACTGTACTTCGATCACTTTTTTATACATATTGCAAAGATATGACAAAAGATCAGATTTACATACTAAAAATGGACTCGACTGGTGCATCGTTGGTTGGCCACATACACAAACTTTTTCCTGAAATTCCACACATATTTCAATTTCGTGAAAATGTGGAAAAGGCCACGATTTCTTCATATAAAATGATGCAAGGGGCAACCCTTTGGAAAGAAAATGTCCACTTAAACTCAAATTTTCCTAAATTAGGAAAATGGCTTTTTGGATATGGACTAGAGAAAAGTACTGTTGAAAAAGTTAAACCAGAAAGTTTATTGGAATTGGCCTTTATTATTTTCGCTGCTCCTTACACCTGTTTTCTGAAAAATAGGCATTGTTATGCTCTTCCAGAAGTAACATATGAAAATTTAATATCAAAACCAGAAGAAACTATTGGTGCAGTTTTTGATGTTTGTGGCATTTCAAAATCACTAATTCCAGAAGCACTGACTGCATTGAATAGAGATTCGCAAGCTGGAACTGTTTTAAGCAGAGATAAAATGGCACAAGTTAAAAGTCTTGAACTTAGCGAGTTGGATCGAAAAAGACTAAATGAAATAGCAAAAAGAATGGAATTACCTGAATCTGTTGTCCATTTCTAAGAAAATGGAGCTTGCCAACTGCAGTATTTATGATTTTGATTAATTTTGTGTTTTTAAATGTGTAAAATGTCACTTTGATTATTACTAGTGCGCTAGAATAAGTGTCCTTCTATGTGTTTCTTCAATATCTCAATCAAAAATCATCGCAGCAACCTAATTTTTTTTGAAAATGCAGAATTTAATTTTCTACAAAAGTGATCTTTATTTACTAATGTAAATAATTTCCATCATTCTTAAAAACTATCAACAAACGACTAGTCCAAGAATTATAGCTTTCAAAAACAACTTTGGGACTAATTTTTTTCGTAGCTCGTTTTAGTTCTTCAATTAAACTTTTTTTCATGTTATTTGGTCCCAGTTAATATTCCCAGCAAGTTCATCCCAAATACAATAGTTCAGAGGATTCAAATCTGGACTATTCGAAGGCCAGTGATATTGATCCAGAAATGCTGGAAAATGGCTGACGATGAGGGTGAGGATGAGTTTACAGAGGAGAGATAATTCAATCAGTCATACCACATGTTTTGATCCTTGCTACGAATCATGAGACATGTTTAGAATCACAATTACGTTAATTAGTATCGGAATTTTAAAAGAAAGCAGGTGGGAAAAGCTTATAATTTTCGGACGAAAAGTCATAGCGGGTGTGAGGTGTGGGTGTTATTCTTTCAGTCACACCCTCACACCCTACTTGTCTCTCAAATCTAATTCCACCTGTCTTAACAATGATATCAGATATATCGAAACGTCGACAATATAAAATATGAAAATATATAAATAAATAAAATAAATTTGAGCTATTGTAAAATTTTCATTTAATAGTATTATGCCTATTACAAAACATAACTACATCACACTTGGTGCTACACACAACCAAAATCTCAATGACATCAATATGATACGGAAAGAGCACATAATCTAAAATAGGACCGTCATTTTCGTACAATAAAGTCTCCGGTAAAAAAATCACTGTATCCATTTCTCTTTAAGTCCTTTTGACTTCTACTTAGAAGCAAAGAAATGTTGGAAGGATTTCTGCTGAAGAATAATCCGTTTTCTCTGAAGAAAACCAATTTCTGTCAGAAACTTCTTTTAAGATGACAAAGTAAAATGATCAATTTCTCTCTAAGTCTTTTAGACTTCTGCTTATGACTGGAGATATCGATGAAGAATTTTTCTATCGTATAGATTTTGTTTCTTTGTAGTGTGACGGTCTTATGAAGGTAGTGTGTTAGAAACTGTTTTTCTCTTTGACTTTGTATGAATACAAGAAAGAGATGAAAAAGAACGACGACAAAAAAAAAATAATAACGTCACCCTTCTTTTTTTACTCGTACCAAAAATAACTGTCCTCTATACGATAGTAAAAGAAAAGAAAGCAACAAAAGTAAAGATTACACTTGGTGGTCTGTCTTTTTCTTAATATGACTGACGCAAGATATCGAAAGAATATTTATTTAAATATTTTCATACTCCTTTTCTCAATCTTCTTGTTTTTTAGTTTTCTATTTCAAAAAAAAGAAGAGTAAGTAGTTGATTATAATTATATTTTAGAAGAGTGGGAATAATAATTCACGAGTAATACAACAAACTGCAAGATTAGATCAAATGGCTACCGATCCGAACTATCAGACGTCGACAACAACTCCTGAAATCGATGAACGTCTTTATTCACGACAACTGTATATAAACTATTTTTTACATATGAGAAATAAGAAATAAATATTGTTTATTCTTTTATTAGTTATGTGATTGGAAAAGAAGCAATGTACGAATTACGTAATGCTGATATTCTTATATCAGGCATGCGTGGTCTTGGTGTTGAAATTGCTAAAAATCTGATATTGTGTGGTGTTAAATCAGTTATTGTTCATGATTGTAACAATGTTGACTACAAAGATTTATCATCACAAGTATAATTAATTAGTATGATACTTGTTTTTTTTTGTATTTCTACAATAGTATTATTTTTCTGAATTTGATATTGGTCAAAATCGCGCTGAAGTTACTAAAGAAAAATTATCTGAACTGAATAATAATGTTAATGTGACATATTCTTCATCCAATATTGATGAAGATTTTCTTCAAAAGCATAAAGTGAATGTATGTTACTTTAAATTGTCGAAAAAATCAAATATGTTTTGTTTTGTTTTTTTTTTGTTGAATGAATGTATAGGTATTTGTTCTTACTGATGATGATATTGATAATCAAGTAAAAATAGGTGATTATTGTCATGAACATGGAATAAAATTTGTTAATGCTAATATAAAAGGTTTATTTGGGTAAAATAAATAAATGTGTTTTATTTATGAGGTATATCTTTATTTTAAATAGACAAATATTTTGTGATTTTGACCAAAACTTCAAAGTATTCGATACAAATGGTGAAGATTCAATAACAGAAGAAATAGTCGATTCAATCAGTCATGTATGAATTGTTTCTGAGTAATGGAGAAAGTTTGTTTATTTAAGTTTGTTGTTCAGGATGAAATTGGTGTTGTATCAATAGCGACATATACAAAACATGGTTTCGAAGATGGATCATACGTTACTTTTCATGGTGTGAAAGGAATGACTGAAATTAATGATCATGAATTCAAAATCACTGTACTAGGTTTGTGTTCTTTTTTTCATTAGTTATGTTGTCTAGATAGGAAATGATTGTGTTTAGATCCATATACATTTATTATTGGTGATACAAGAAATTTTGGTGTTTATGAAGGTGAAGGAACAGTTACTGAAGTCAAAAAAGCAGAAACTGTGCATTTCGTAAGTCGATTTTTTTCTTCTTCGTCGATCATTAGATTTTGAATTATTTTCTTCAATTTAGAAATCATTTTCTGGTTCATTGAAAAATCCAGAAATATTAATTTGTGATTTTTTCAAAGATGTCAATGTCTGCTAATCTTCATTTATCATTTCAAGGTTTATCACTTTTTCAAAACCAATATAATGCATTGCCTCAACCATGGAATGATGTATACCATATTCATTTATTCTTTTATTTATCATTTCTTTGTTTCTCATTTAGGATGATGCAGATAAATTCTATGAAATAGTTGAAAAATTGAATAGAGAAAATCGTGAACAAGTATTAACAGATCAACTGAATAAACATTGGATAAGACTATTTGCTAAAACATGTACTGGTGATTTATGTCCAATTCAATCTGTTATTGGTGGTATTGCTGCTCAAGAAGCAGTCAAAGTAAGAAGCATTTCATTCATTCATTAATGTTTTGTTTTGTTTTATCAGGCAGTGACAGGAAAGTTTATGCCAATTCGACAATTTTTATATTTTGATGCTATTGAATGCTTATCTGAAAATGTCTTTTATCTATCAAATGAAGGAACAAGTGAATCAAACACAAGATCAAATTTCCCATCAAAACAAAGTCGATATTATTTTCAAGAAATTGTTTTTGGTGAAGATTTACAAGATAAACTAGGCAATGCTAAATACTTTCTGGTAAGAAAAGAAGAAAGAATGATGAGAAAAAAAAATATGTTAAAATAAGCGAATTAATTATAGGTTGGTTCAGGTGCAATTGGTTGTGAAATATTGAAAAATTTTGCTATGATGGGCATTGGATGCGGAAGAGATGGTGCAGTATTTGTATCCGATATGGATTCAATCAAGATATCGGATTTACATCGACAATTTCTATTTCATTATCGGGATATTGGTGTAAGTTTTTTTATCTGCTCGCAAATAATAATTGAGGTGAGAAGTTTTATTGATCTTTTCAGAAAATGAAATCAATAGTAGCAGCTCAATCAATAAAAGTAATCAATCCCAATATGCATGTTCATGCATATGTCGATGGGGTTTTACCAGAAACAGAACATATATATAATGATCATTTTTTCAACAATTGGATGGTCTTGTCACTGCAGTTGACAACGTCAAAATTCGTAAGTATTTTGATTACATTCGAATCACTGATATAGATTAAAATTCTTGTCATTTATGGCGTTGTCGGATAAAGAGGTATGTGATATGCAACTTAAAGGAGTACAGTTCAAGACACATTTTTTAAGTATCAATAAGGTTTTTGAAGAGACTTGATTAAGTTTAAATATTCTTAATGATCTGTTCGACTTAAGGTAGATTTCTACAGTAGAACATCTTGCATATTGTAATTTTCAAGAATCCGTAAAAGACTAAAAAAATCTGTGCTGAACCCAAAGATGATACTTCAAATCGATATTAGCCTGTTTCTTATCAATAAAAACTTTGAACTTCCTTCTACCACAGATTGACAAATCAGTCCATTTGATTTAAACAGAGTGGATATATGCAAATTTTTTATCGTAAAGTTATTTATGACCCATTTTATATAAATATTTAAAAAGCTAATTAACGATGGGCAAGAGAGAAATACGTTTAAAAGAGATTTATCTGATTCTTTTACACATCACTGAAAATGGAAAAGTTATTTCTTATTACTTTCAGCTGTCCGCTTGTCAATGTGGCATAATTCGAGAACATCTCTTCTCGGAAGGTTGAGTTTCATCAGCTACTTTCTTATCATCTCTTTATCTTTAACCAGAATTCTTTCACTTCTATAAAATTCATGATATATGAATGACAAGTGATATTGATTCTAGTTTTATTCCGACTATTTTTTTGAAAACTTGAAACTCTTTGTCTTACGGTCAATACATTGATCGTCATTGTGTCTATTATCGAAAACCATTGGCAGATAGTGGTATATTTGGTACAAAAGCAAGTGTTCAAGTTGTTGTACCATTTCTTACTGAATCATATTCATCTACCAATGATCCACCCGATCCAATAGTAGACCTGAGTACTGCAATACATTTTCCAATTTCTATTAATCATATTATTCAATGGGCGATCTATACTTTTTCTGATCTATTTACAATTCCTGCTCAACAAGTTGAAGAATTTGTGCGTGATCCCAAAGGCTTCGCTGAACGAACAGCTAAAAAGTCCTCCGAATATGAAAAAAATGGAATTGTTGAAAACGTTAAACGTATTCTTGTTGAACATCGTCCAAGAAATTTCACCGATTGTATCAAATGGGTAAGTTTATATCGTTTACAATAAAAACGAATGTTTATCTTTTTTTGTTCATTTAGTCTCGAAATCTCTTCGAACAACAATTTCATAATGCAATTGTTCAGTTACTTCATAATTTCCCACGTGATCGTGTGACAGATAGAGGTGAACTTTTTTGGAGTGGATATAGACGATGTCCACATCTATTGAAATTTGATGTTAACAATAAACTTCATTTGGATTTCATTATTGCTGCATCCAATTTATTTGCACATATGTATAATAACCCACAAACATGTGATCGTCAATTTATTGCACAAGAAGTAACAAAAGTACAAGTGCCTGAATTTAAACCAAAAAGTATTTTCACAGCAGATAATGATAGTAACCAATGGAGAGTGGATGATCAGCAACGAAAGAATGTTCAAGAGGAAAACAATTCGTCAATTGAACAACTCCTTAATCGATTGCCTAAACTTGATGAAATAGTTGACATTAAGATTCAACCACATGAATTAAAAACAGATGATGATACGAATTTTCATATGGATTATACAGTAGCAACAACTCTTTTACGAGCTGAAAACTATGAAATACAAATAACTGATCGAAGTCAAATCAAAAGAATTGCTGAAAATATAATTCCAGCTATTGTAACAACAACAGCAATGGTTACAGGTCTTGTTTGTCTTGAAGTTTATAAATTAATTCAAGGTCATAAGAAGATTGAATCATATCGAAATGCATGCCTTAATTTGGCTTTGCCATTCTTTGCATTTTTTGAACCGATACCACCAAAATATCAAAAGGCATAGAATATTAGACAATCACTTTTGAATAACTATAAATTCTTCTCATTTAATTATAGTATTTAGATAAGAAATTCACTTTATGGGATCAGTTTGAAGTGACAGGTGATATGACATTGGAAGAATTTATAGAATATTTTAAGGTAAAGAAAAATCAATCTGATTTAGGATTCATTTTTGTTTAACTTTGAATTGTGGAATATAGTGTGAGCATAAACTAGTACCAAACATAATTTCAGAAGGATCGTTTATGATTTATAGTGCACATTTTATGCATCAAACGAGTAAAATACAAAATATGACACGAAAGTATGTATTTACTTGGATGATGGATTGATAAAAACAAATTAATTTCTTTTCATTTTTAAGAATTTCTCATATATATGAAAGTGTGAGCAAAAGAAGAATACCACCGCATGTTCGGTCTCTTGTATTATATATGTTATGTGATGATCTTGAAGGAAATGAAGTTCAAGATGTTCCTTATGTCAAGTATACATTTGCATGAACATATTATTTGTAAAATATTTGAAGTTATAAAAGAGAGTGGAAAATTATATATGTCATAAAGTTTGACATTGAAATACAAGAACTAATTGAATGACAGACAGATAGATAAGTTATTTCCTAAGGTATTTATTAAGAAGAATGGATAAATCGAAATACTAATGGATATCAGCATGATCAAAAGAAAGTTGAAAAATGAAAAAGGTATATTGCATTTTGTCAAGTGTTCTTCAATGTTGCAATAAGTCGTTGGAACGAAAAAAAAATTTCTCATCGTTTGTTGTCCTGTTTCAAATCTGTAACGGATGAAACATACCCATACTAAAAGTAACTTGCTTCTTTCTATTATGAACAAATTTTTAGTTCAAATATGCACAGCGATCAACAGATCATCGTGAAAAAGAAATTAACATGAGTTCATTGATTATAAGGTAGCGCTCATTCTACGGATTCGCTAACCATTTTCTCGAAGAAGATATTGCACGTTTCTGGAGAATTTTTCGATAACAATATATTCAACCTAGTTTATATATCAGATATATGTGCGAATAAATATAGAGCTCATTTTCGCATCAACATGAATGAAGATAAGATTACTATCCACTCATATTCTCTCCACGCTTCTCACCTAGAGGGTGGGTGCGGGTATGGTTTAATACATCATGATACCCACACGCACACACTAGCGCATACCCTATACCCACCCACACTCACACCCACACTCTTAAATAGTTTAAATACTGGATCAAGAACAAATTGACAAAAACCACGAAGATAAACTTCACCACCTGTTTGTGACCATTTTTTTTCTGTTGATGAAAAGAAATTTTCATCTCATAAACAATTCATTAATTTATCAACTGTACCTTTTCTTGGATCAACCTAAATTGATTCAAATGAAAAAATTATTTAAAAAAATAATTCTTTGTTCCAACATATGCTCTTATGTATAACGATATAAATCGAATACATCATCGTTTATGAGGAGAAACTTTTTTTTCCTGTTGGCAAAGTTGAACCACCGTATGCGTATTAAAATAAAACACATTTGGTTGGCCTATGAACTTGCCATAATTAAAAAACTTTAATTATTCTTACTGGTAAATCATCCATTGGTCCACTTTTCATCACCATAAGTTGCAATGATAACATTTACATTTTCAACAATACTTTGAAATGTTTGAAAAGGATCTTCTTGTTGAAAGTTTAGTTGAAGTAATGCACGATCCATTTTATTTATAAATAATATTGGTTTAATACGTTCATCAATGGCTTGACGAAGAACAATATCAGTCTGTAGACCAACATGTTTACTCAGAAAAAAAACAATAGTTCCTTTTTAGGTCATTGTTGGTTCTACTTGGTTTATAGTTCTTACAAAGAATTCTACATATTTTGAGTTAGTTGGTACGATATACATTACAATCGACGTTATTTAAAGATTGATTGAAGTTTTCTGAATGAACATGATTTAGTCTCGCAACGTAAATATAAAATATGTCGAGCAAAAATGTGTCTAACCTCACTGAAAACGAACAATTCCTTGTAAAACTTATGAATCAAACGATGATTCAAAGATGAACTTTATACGCCTCTATCTATTCATAATATATCTGAAACACAATCAACAACGACAAGAGCACCATCGGTAACATGTAAAGCGGCGGTAACGTCTGATGAAAAATTCACATGACCTGTAGAATCAATAAGATTGATTAAAAAATGAGATGGATCAGATTCACGTTCTTGTTTAAGAAACGATAAATCTTTATCAGATAATTCGTAATAAAGTAAAATAGTTCTACAAAATAAGAGAGATTCTTTTCAATTTAAATTTAAAATAAAATTTTACGTTGATTTAATTGTCATATATCATTCTTGTTCATCTTTTATGTGTTTGTAAAAGGCATTTTATCTGGTTTTTGTTGAGTAATAATAGCAGCTTTACAAACAAGTAAATCAGTTAATGTTGATTTTCCATGATCGACATGACCAATGATGGACATACTTTGAATGTTCTTCTTTTTGTCCATCAAACTACGAATTTGATCGACAGTAAAATTAACCTATGAAGAAGAATTTCGAAGATTTTTTTTTCAGTTTTATTTAACCAAACTTACCATGATTGGATTTATTGGTTATTGGAATAAGATGAGAAAAGAAAATTTTCGGCTTGATTCAACGGGTTTCTGAAATAAAATATAAATCAATAAATAAGATAAATTTCGAAATGATACAGCATCTGTTTGCTCAATTAAACATGAATGAATGATATGAAGGAACAAGAAATGGCGATGGTTAAAAGAGGAGAGATTTTATTTTCGTTGGTGTATTTTCAATTAATGAGTGTAACCGAAAATTGAGAATAAGCAAAGGATATGATGCAGAAAGACGGGTGACAGTGTTGTTGGATCACGTATTTTAAAGCCTTGCTTTGTTTATCGTTTCTTCAACCTCAATTCTGTTACCTGTTGTACGTGATTTTATTTCTCTCTTGATATTAACACACACATTATTATATCTATAGATATATA